AATCCATTTTATGGCATGGCCTAAAGAAACGGTTTATGAGACAAGTTTCACAAGGATTATAATAGTAACATTTTAAATAAGAAAAAATTGAATTACAGATGTAATGTAAAAAAAATCTACTGATGCCAAAATAAGTAATCTGACATCCTTTTAAGCAGAAAAGATAACATTTTCAAGATTAGCATAACAATTGATAGAAAATTAAATTTTTTAATGTAAGAGCTTATCCCCAACAATTTGGTTTTCATACATAAACTGACAAAATAATACATATGATTGCCATGTATTAAATGTTCTCACTCTTTCCCATGTAATAAATTAGATTTCCTAAATCAGAAATGCATAAATAATAGTGTTCTATTTTTTTTAAAACTAAAATAACTTTAAAATTAATTCAAACTAACCTCTTTAGTTTTGCTGTCTTTATCATTAAGATTCTAAGATACAAGCCAAGTGGATATCTGTTGATTGTCATCATTTCTGAAGATTGTGGAAATTCAATTCTAAAAAAGCCCTTTGATGTAAATTCAGTTTGACAATACATACATCTTCTAAGTAAAGATCAAAATATTTAGAAGAAACCAACAAAAAGAACTCAAGGTATTATTGCTATAAAAGGAAAAATTGACAGTTGGTTTTGCAAACTGTACATATTATAAAAAATACCTCTCCTGTATAAAACCTACAAAGTTACTTACAAATACAATTAACAAAGATTTTAAATATTAAAAAATGCTACTTATATTTAGGTGATTATAAAATTGTATAATCATAATGAACATACAAACAAAAATAAAATAAAATGACTGTACAAATTTACATGCCCAAAAATTTATCAGAAACAAAAAAGATTTACCCTGATCAAATGTTTGACTTGCACATATATATATATATATATATATATATATATATATATATATATGTGAAGTCTTTTAGTTTTAAACAAAAATTATGGCAGTCAAGATTTAATAGCAGAGAAAATATTGACAGTCCTGAATAAAAAAAATGATTATTATATTCAAGCTGAGCCAGAGATAAGAAAAAAAAAAGAATGATTGGGGTATAAACTTTAAATTTATATAAAAGTAAAAACTACTGGATTTACATTGCAAACTTACATGATTCAATTTGATCATTTTGATTAATAATAAGAACATTCCAGAAAAAGCTGTTAATATTGTCAACTGCAGTGTGTGCAAAAAATAATAATTTATGCATACAAATATATATTATTAAACTATTTCTACACAATATATAAACTTTTATGCTACGTTTTATTTCTCATATTTTGCATTTATGAAGCAGTTACTATTCCAGTAAAAATGTTTTATTGAAATTTTCTCATTTGAATTCCAAATGGATAATTAATCAAATTCATGAATAAAGAGAACATATGGAACAAACTTGTAGAGTTGACTTTACAAATGCATCAAATGAAGTTAAAGAGCAGATGTACATAAGGGCTATATTGTTTTACAATTCAAAATCTGCCTAAAGGCATGGCTCTCAGTTATCTTAATGCTTTACAGCAGAACTTATAACCAAAATCCAAGTCTGAAACAGAATGAAAATTTTAATAGTTTTAAGATGGGAATTTTTATATAAATGACTATACAATCCAGACAGGAAGATAGATTGGAGAAGATGGTGCTTGTGACCAAAATTATAAAATAAACCTTTTTTAATATCATATGATTTTAGTAAATAACTGATTGTTAGTTATCTACTAACAGCTATGGTCAATATACATAATCTTTGGGGCCTATCAAATAACCATAATTTCCACTCCCTCAGTCCCAAATTTCTCAACTGAGTAAGGATAGAAACCCAACTTTTGCATCATTCACATGCAGAAGAATAATATAATTGTAAAGTTACATTATTTGGTAAAAGAGATATTCCTGGAAATACCTCACAATCACTGATAACCAACAAATTTTAAGGAATACCCATTATCACTGCTACATCCAAGTATAAAAGCCTAAGTCATTTTTACAGTAAATTACACATTCCTTTTTTTAGTCTTTCTTTACTGATGAATTCCAAAGAAAACAAAAAATTGTATACAGAGAATAATTCTTTAAAAAACATAGAAATTTAAAAAGTACTAAATTAGCAACAAGGAAATAATATTTTGAGCTTTAAAATTAATGATTCAGATTATATTTTTTTTTAAAACTTATCGTAGAAAGTCTCAATCTTGATTTCTAAAGATTTGCATGAGCAAAAAGATTTTGTTTGAGTGATTGTACAATTGAAACAAATTTAGTTCAGAATCCATGTTATTTTATGACAAAAGGTTTGGATTAAAAACATTAAAACAAAGCAAATTATTTTTGGTGCATCAGCATCTATGTGAATCCTATAGCACTCTAAATAATTTCCCTTCAAAATATGACTAAGAAAAAAAACTGATTGTTACGATGTTACCCAATTCAAATTCAATAAATATTCACAAGAGACTTCAGGATAAAAGATAGTAATGCTAAAATTTATAGTTTTAAAGGGTAGTTCCTGTACCACTGTAACTTATTTATACAAGGTCTTTTTTTCTGAGAAATTAAAAATAATTACAAAACAAAAACATAGAACATTTTTCGTAGCGAGAATAAAAAAAAGAAATAAGGAGGAGATAATTAGGAAATGGTGGAGTTAAGTCCCTTGATGTTTGAGTGTCAGTCGAGATGATCACCATCAGGATATGTCAGCCTGTGCTGACATCACATTCACTCACACCAACAACCACATTCTTCTTTCTCCTTCGACGTCTTAGTCAGCTTCTCACGATTGATGACATTTGAAAAGACACACTCACACACACATACACACACCAATAAATAAATAAGTAGCGATCGAAAATAGAGAAAACGACAAAGTGTTGTGTTTAAAATAAGCTAATATCGGAATTAGACAATAATGGAGGGTGTGGGACTCATTTTTTTCAAGTTAGGTACAACATAGAAAGGGTGGAGCCGGGCCCAGCTATAAATAAGTCAAAAGCGAAAGACTAAGCTAAGAAAGGAAAGAATAAACTGTATTCTAAAAAAAATTATACCGAAACGAAAAGACATCACTTGAAGACGTCGACGACACTCAACATTATTTTTGTTAATGTTGTTTTTAAGGATATTTTTAAATAAGAAATAAATAACTCCTACGACGACTGTTGTTATTTTACATTTATTTCTATTTAAATTTATGTTGCGTGTTCATTTCTCTTGGGCAAAACACAAAGCTGCTATCGTTAACAAACACTCAGAAATTTCTAATAAATAATTAAATTAAAAAGGATTAATAAAGAAAGTTCGATGTTCTTCCTTTAGATAATTATGAAACTGATGGGAATTATTCATTCTTGTGACAGGACATTTTTAGAGAAATTTTCAATAGGATGTGTATTATTCAGTTTTCTTGTCTTGTTTTAATAATAGTTTTTTTGTAGTAGTAGTAATATGGCTACACTTCCTTGTGATGATACACTGAGCTGACACAACAAAGCATGGCAGGGTTAACAACCTAAGAAAAAAATCTGGCCAATATTTTGACAGGTAAAAAGAAAGAATTTAAAAAATGAAAGACTATCGATGTATAAGGGTTATTTAGGTGAAGGATTTATGATGAGGTTATGTTTGATATCAACAGCACGTGTTTTGTCGTAAGTTGTTTTATTGTAGTGGTTGATCTTTCATCTAAAAATTCTATCACTTCTTTCTTCCATGTCGGAATGGTTGACCCAGGACTAATAATAATGATCATCATCATCATCATCGTTATTATTATAACTGATCATCATTTATTGATGACTACAAAAATGCGTTAATTAGTTTTTACGAGAGAAAGTCTACATGTATGTAAAATTACTAAGAGGAATATACTGACTGAAATTAGATTAGGTTTATTTTTTTCAATCAAATGTTCTTGAATTCATAAATTTAAATTTTAAAATAAGTTCTTAATAAATTAATCAGAAATTTTAAAATTTGCAGTTTTCAAATATTTTTTACGACCAACAAAAAAAGTAGAAATTTTAAAAAAACCTATCTTGAGTTAACATGACTGTCATACGAAATCAAAGAAACTGGCTTAAAACAAAAGTTTGGCCATAAAAAGCTGTGTTAAGGAAAAATAAAGTTTCTTTCTTTTACTAATTTAAAAAAGAAACAAAGAAACATAAAATACTAACTATACAATAGTAAACATTCAAATTGTCCCATCACAACCAAAAAGAGAGAAAAAAAAGCTAATTTTAAAAAGAAAACATCACCAACTTATTTTTTTCACTTATTTTTTTTAATTTAATTAAAGTTATTTTTTTGTTAAAATAAAAATTATATTTTTGTAGAAATTTTAAGTGTTTACCTTATTGCTGAATAAGTAATAATTTTAAAGATAAAAATACTGGACTCTTAATTTATTAATTTTTTTAACAAACTGGAAGTTTTCAATCTTCAAAATTGAAATAGAATAATTGAATGTCTGTATATTACGGGTATAATATACCATTTACCCGTAAATATAGACATTAAGTAGGTTTTTTAGACATCTGTTTTAAAACGTTTTTGAGTTCATTTTTCAATTTTAATTTTAATCTGAACCCTGAGAACGAAATGACAATTTTAATCGTGGTAAATTTGATAAGGAGGCTATTTTAAAGAATTTATTTGAAATAAAATTTTAAAATGAAAAAACACTCCTATCGGTACACTCTCTCACACGTGTGTGTATGTATTGTATACACACGAAAAATGTTAAATTTTAAAAAAAAAGAGGGGGCATCTCCATTTTCAAAAATGAAAAAGAAATAATGAAGGTGCTTACTTGAGCATTTTTATTTCTGATTATTATTAATATTCCCTTGACCTGGGAATTAGTTGATAACGACTACTACTCTAACTAGTATTTTAATGCCAATGGTATTACTATTATTTGTGAATGATGATGATGATTATACTGGTCGGATATGATGAGTGACTGAGACTATTTTTTTTTTAAATACTCACCTTTTGTAATGAAGCCGTGAAAAGATTTTGCCACTTAGATATGTTGGCCTCACAGGTGAAATCGTAGGTCAATTTCTCACTGGCTGCACTGGCCGTCGAGAACATCACTGTTTGTTGTTCTTGTCCAGATTATTCGGGTGGAGGATGATAAGATCGGGGTGGCCTCACACTCTCACACACACACACACACACACACTCTCTCTTTCTTTTTCTCTCTCTCACGCAAAAATTACAACTATATTATGATTTCTTCTTTTTTTTTCTCGCCTCCTCCTCTTCTTTTCGTTCCCCTCCGCCTCTCTCTTAACACCTCTTATTTCTCTGGTCTTTTTATTATTGTGTTCGGAGTTTTTGTTAATAATAACAATCAGGATTTTACACCTTTTTGTGTATGAATTGTTAGCAGTAGTGTTTTTTTGTTGTTTTTTTTTTTTTGTAAATGACGACAACACTTAGCAAGTACTACTAACTATTACGATTGTAGTAGCAATGAGTGACTGCCAGTTGTAAAACAGTGATGTATTTATTCGATAAATGAAGAAATGGACCTCACCAATTTATTTCTACCTACCTTTTTAATATTTCTTCTTGATCTTTTTAGGGGGGTGTACAAGAGCCTTTATTACAATCTATATAATTATTATTTGGATTTTGTACTTTTTTTAAGGCAGAGAGAGACCAACGGTATGTAGAGAGAGCTTTGTTGCAATGCAACTACCAATTGTTTTTATTTTGTTACCTTTTTAGTGTTAGTTATTCAATATATACACACACACACATATATATTGAATATATATATATGTGTGTATATATATATATATATATATATATATATAAATAAATATTTATTTATATGTATGTTTGTATATTATCGTGTTGTTATTGTTCACGACACTCGGACTTGTGTTCCGCCTCCGTCAGTCCAGTAAGGACTGAAACCAACTTGCTGCTGCTGCTGATGTAAAAATGAGAAAGAGTGTACAAGTGGTTGTAACTCAGGTTGATGAGGGGGGAGCAGTTGGGATATTTGTGACAATAATGATGATAATGACAATGATGATGATGATAAATGTTGGATTTGCTGATGTTGGGGATATGATGTGGTTTTAGCTTTGGCTAAATTTAATTTCTCCCTCGGGTGATAATTCTCTTGTTGTTGTGGTCTAAGTTCTGGCTTGTGTGCGTCAACAACGGCCATCATCATCATCATAGTCGTCATCAACAACAGCACGACAGACTGATAGACAAACATACATGCAGACACTACACAAAGCTTACCGTTTTAATTTTCAGATGAACCCTTTTTCTTACCACAGACTATAAATAAGTCTAAACTATGTTATCAGCCTATAAAATAAGAGGCGACAACAGATTTTTACATAGATTATATTTTTTGTGGTGTTTATAATTTATTTTCTAGTGTTTTAATCATAAACCAGCCATGTGTCTGTTCCCTAAGCTACCAACCTTAAAACTAATCTTGCCAAACCTGACCCTAAACTAACCTACCTACAATTATTTAAAAGGCACACACTAGTTTAAAATTATATATTTCACCGTCAGGCCAAGTATTCAATACAATGTGTATTATCTATGAACAATTTGTCCACCATAACTTAAAAAAAAAAAAAAAAAAAAAAAAAAAAGTATTTGTGACTATATCTTTAGTGAGTGTCTTTTCACACATACACGTTATGTGTATTACGATACACAGACTCGTGTATACATAGGTAAGAGTGTTTAAAAATAAAATCCTACGCAATTATTTTGTCGACATATACATGGGTAGAGATAGGTGTATTAACAACGGATAAATAGTAGATTTGAGTGGACATCTCTATACAATCCAAGTATTACAAGATTTTCACAATCTAACAACTTTCTATACGAACACCATAACTGTTAAAACAGATACGTACCAAATTACATACATAGATTATATTATATATACATATTTATGGTGTTATTGAGATAAACAAACCAGTAGTATGACTATTTTTATTTTTTTACCTAGGTGTAGTATTGTAGATTGTGTAGAACTATCGGTATGTCTAATATTCCTCTCTATTTTTAGATATAGACAACTTTAATCACTTTCAGTTTTTTGTTTGTTTGTTTTTTTTCACATACGTTCCGTAATATTTACGCATTTGTTTATGGTCTTTTTGTATTTTCTTAAATGTACACTTTTAAACAGAAAACAACAAATTTATTTTAGTGTCTAGCCATACACACTTACTACAAACAATTAACACACAGATCTACAAAACAAGACTTCTGATAATAAAAAAAGGGGAAATTAAATATTTTCAGATGGATTAAGTTTTTTTCTGAATTGTTATTGGGTTTTTTTTCACTTATTTAGGTGATAAAAGCCAGGATTTTAATAAAATCTTTTGAGGTGTATGCGCGTGTATTGCCCTTATTGTGTCATTGTATATGCAAATGGAAACTACTGGTGTTGGTATTAGTAGAGAGAAGCGAATGGGTGACGGTCACAGAAGAAAATAAAGACGTGGTAGCAGCACGAAGGGGGTGCCACTGTTTACTCTGGACGATGATGATAATGGTGGCAGTGGTAGTCCTCCTTGCCCGCCTCCAACGTCAGCATCGGGGACCAAAATGTTTACTCCTGGCCCGATGCCGACGATACTTCTAGCGCCCGATGGCCGCTGTCTTTTACCAGGGACAAATGCATCCAGTGGCTGACTGGCTATTTTTCCTTTCCTTTTATTTTTAAAGGCCTATGGCCGCCCGATTTCTTCGGTAGTGTCTCTTTCTCTCTTGGCTTGTTTTTAGCTGCCGTCCGTCACCGTCGTCGTCGTGGAAGACCTGTCTGGCAAGGCAGCAGTTACGCATGCGCCACTACCGGATGGCGCTATGGCGGCCTATGGCGCTTTATTATGGCCGCCTTTCTCTTTTTTTCTTTCTTTTTTCTTCATCATCAACTTTTTCTTCTCGTTCTCTTTCTGTCTTCAGTCTCCTCTTTCCCATCCTTTCTTTCTCTCTCTCTCTCTCCCCCTCTCTCTTTTTAACCCTGGCCACTTGCCACACCTTTTCGCACAAATTAATTAAAACACTTGACAAGAAAAAAACAAGCAAATAAGTTGAAATTATTTGTAGTAAAAAAAGTATGATAAAGTTACGAAACGTATTGTAGTAAATGTCTAATAAATTCTGATTGTTAAATTATTAGCTAAACTTATTAAAAAAAATTTCCACGAAAGAAAGATAATTACGCTGAATAGTACTTATAATATTAAATTTATTAAATAATATAACTTAAATTATGACTATTTAAATTATGAAATAGTGCTGGTTATTGAATTATTTTTACTACAAACTTAAAAAATATTTTTTTAAAATAGAATTTAAAAAAAAACACTGACTATTACTAAAAAAAATAAATTATAAACTAATTAACTCAACAATAACATTTTTAAATTGTTTATAAATTTAAAAAAAATAAATTAATTATTTTGTTAATACTTCGGAGTGAAAAAATTTATCATAAATTAAGTAAAACTAAAAAAGTAACTACACTTTGACTTCTTGCTTGTCTATTATTTTTATTTTACACCGTTTGTTTACATTCATTACTAAAAAAAAATTCAGATCATTTTTGTTTTGTTTTTTTCGCGAATGTCGGTGTTTATAGTCTATTTGTTTTTGTTTAATAATGACTCAATAATGACAATAAATCAAGTGCAAGAATGTGGATCATTTACTTTACTGTCAACTGATTGTTTTTAATTTTTTTTTTACTTATTTTCAGGTTCAACTTACGTCCCTTTGTTTTATACTACGGAGGCCGAATTTGGATACATTACATTTTCAAAATTATTAGTTTCCGCGTTAGTTTAGCATTTTCAACTGGTTTCTCTTTGCTTCTCCATCCCACCTCAAATCTGTAGAAATATCCCACAAGGATTACTAAAAGGTTTGTTTAACGAATGGTAAATAAATTTCACAAAACAGTGATTTATTTTAATTTTAAAAACAACATTTAGAGAGCGTTTCATAAGAAACGAAGATGACAAAAATATGTTCGTGACTATCAGCATCTACCTAAGTAAATTCTCTGACACAAGCACAGTGGCAGAAACGGTGATGCGTTTTTAGTTAGATTCACTTTTTGTAGAAATAAATGTATTCTAAAAATCAGAATTAAAATATTTTTAATTCCTGTCTAATTTTTAAATTATTATTTTTATTTGTCATAAACTGAATGCTGTCAATTTTATTTTTAAACGTTAATTTCATTTGAATTGATGCTGTGCGTGTTTTTGTGTGTGTGTGTGCGCGCGCGCGTGTTGGTGCACCTAGGGACTGCTGTCCAATTTTATTGTGCATTATTGCACAATGACAAGGAAAATAAATATATAATAGGCTTCCGCGTTCCGGTTAGGGTGATTGTACACAAAAACTAAATTTATTTTAATCTAGAACGTTTTTTTGTTTTGTTTTTAAAGAATTAGTAGACTTTGTCATCGATCCAACTCGAAAACCTAAAAAATCAATTGTTTTTTCAGTTACATTTACTTTATGACCGCAGATTTTAAAAATGAACAAATAAACCGACGTGTAATTCAACATTTAATAATTAAAATAGCTAGCGTCTTAAAACTTTTAGAGGCATAAAAGCAACACAAAAAAATGGATCAGTATATATCAAAATGATATTTTTCAAGAAAGAGTCGTCAAAAATAAAATCTAAAATAAAATTAGAAATTTGCATACGTATTAAATTTGCATACGTATTAAATTTGCATACTTTTTGACGTACTCGAAATCAGATCATGAGCTATACAAGGGAATTTTCAATCAATCAAAGTTGGTTTGAATAAATTGAAAACCCTTCATGTTTGTATCTCCTTAAAAACAGATAAATATGAGTCTCTGCAATAGGTCATAGTCAGTCAACTAAAAATTCCAGCTTGTCTTCACAAATCTATGCCAAACAACTCCCTTTACCTAAAGAGGAAGCTAAAGTGGATCAAGACTTATCAACAACCAAGATTACTTGCCAGCTATTTTTTAAAGTTTATATGCTTATATTTCTTTTTCTTCTGTAAATTGTGATAAATAAATTTCACTAAAATGTATGAAAATATTAGACACGTCAATTTTTATGGAAATTTCAAATAATAAGACTGTTTACTATAAAAATCAAACTATACATAAGTTTACATAGAAAAACATTGTTGTCAGAATGTAAATAAATTGCAGTTTTAAATTTTATCACATTCCTAGAAGTCTATTTACAATAGTAACTATAACTAATTACCAATACTGGTCTATCAACTCTCCTGGTGGCACAAGAAAACTCCTAGTTTTGAGCACTTTATCTCTGTCTCCCAGTTTGTAACTAATTTCTTCCCTGTATATTTAACTAGAGTAGAGATTTATCTCTTGTTACCTGTTTAGATTTCGGGTTCCTTCTAAAGTCTCCTCATTTTTATTCACACTCAGTAATCCCTTGCAAGTTGGTAGCATATATCACCTTGCTTCAGGTGAAATGATTAAAAAAATAACTAATTAGTGTTCTCTTGTTTAACTGTCAGTCATTAGTCCTCTGCTAAGTCTACCAGTTTTTACAAGATTCTCCCTGTACATTAATCATTGAGATTTCTCCACTAAAAAAGTATATGTTTTTTTAAAATTGTTTCACTATTTAAAACCATTGTTATTGCATTGATAGCATATTTTAACAGATTTATTGAATCAGGGTTTGTTTACAAGTGAAACATTAATCTGAAATCGGTTAATGTTGGTCCAAAATTATACTTCCATTGGGAATAACTGCTGTGAATTTCAAGAATGCTTTAGAGCTGTTTTTGAAATCCTGTTTCTCCCTGTTTTTGGTAAAATCTCCATTTTTATAAAGCTTCAGGCTTTAAGATTTTTAGGTTGACAGATCAGCCAATGTCACTATAAACATATTGCAAGCGGACATGGATTTTTTACAAGTTTTTCAAAACAATTTCAGACCTAAAAATTTGGAAAGTTCATTCTCTGAGGCGTCCAAAAATGGTCTCATTTGTTTTCTAACTCCAAATACTTTCCAAGATATGGCCATTTGAATTTCATGAATTCTGGATTTTAACATGGAAGGATGTTATGTTTGGAAAATTGTAGCCTAAGTAGAGATTTGGCAAGTAATTTGCTAAAATGTCTCTAATACCTTTAAGGCATCTTGAAGTATACAGACACACAAGATTGAAATATCTGCATAGATTAGGATCATTTCTTCTAGGTTTTATCAATTTTTGCAAAAATTAGCCTGAACAATACACATTTTTGCCCAAAAATTTGGTCCAAAGTTCAGTCCAAAGGGCTATATTTAAGGAATGACTGCAAAAAAGCCACAAGATTAATTTTTTTAATGTTTACAATTTAAAACTGAGAGTTCGCAACCTTTCTGAAAATGTCTGTTTAAAAAAAAATTATTCTCAGGAACATTACTAAAATCTATTCCATAGAAAAATTTTGCTTGTAAAATTTTATCCCTTTCGCAGCATCAAATGCCAGTTTAATAACCGATCAGATTGCATAAACAGACTCTGGGACAAAAGTGACCCCATAGTGTTGAAAGTATGTGAATGTTTACAGTACTCCCATTGAAAAGCAAAAGGACATACAACATGAAGTTGTGAAGAGTTGAAGGATACACTTCACAGATGTAACAATGAATACAAGGCATTGGTGTCCTTCTTGTCTTATTGATTTCATTAAGTGTCATATTTGTGATGTACTGAAAGAATTTAGTGTTCCCAAATATCTATTCCATGATTCATATACAATTAAATATTTCAGTGTATAAATATGATATCATTTGATATCATACATGGTTTTATTAAGGATTTTGGACAAATATCCCCAAATTAAGGTTTGGGCTCAGGTATATTTTTGAATATTTCAATCAAATTTGATTACATTGCATTGACTTCTTCCTATGCTTCCAATGAAGTCCCAACTATCATCATACCATTACTATTTATCAAGATGTAACTAAAAATGGATTTTCAGGATTTCAGCCCAATATCTCCAAATTAGAGGATTTTTGGGTCCCAGACCGCCAAAATTTTGGATTTTTCTTAATCAAATTGATTTCTCTGTATTCCACTCCTGCATATGCTTCCAACAAGCACTTAATCACCATAGACAGATGAGGGGTTTTCAAGTTATAGGCAAATGTCTGCTTGACCACCAATATGAGCCCACTGTGTTGCAATAACACATTTAATATGGTATTGAAGTTTTATTTACTGTTTTAACTACAATAAAATAGTGTTATAGACAAGCATATGGTTGCAAGAAAGAAATACGACAACAGCAGAAATAGATTTACGTGATTTATTTCAATAGGAACAAGTGGTTTTGGTACAGCTACCTTGTGGTATAGTTCATAAGCCGGCTTCCGATCTATGATCTCTCATAGTAGTTCTCACTGGTTGGCGTGGTGCTCCTCCTGCTGACTGCTGCTTACTGACCGTGACAGGTCTCTTCCCTGGCCTCCTGTTGACTGTTGTTGTACTTCCCCTTGTGACCCCTTTGATGGCATTTTTTATGGCTTAACAGCCTCGTAAAACGACACGAGTATAATTAGGAGGGAAGCATTTTTATTGGTTGAAAAATAGAAACACTTTAAATATTATTTTATTTTTCGACCAGAACTCGTGCGTCGGGCCTATGCGTAAATGACGATAATGGTCATTTTGTGATGGGGCCTTGTCTCCTTCACATCCGGCTCTTACTCTTGAGTATGTTAGTTTATTTGCCTGCAAATCAGCTAAGATATGTCTTATTTTATTTTATAACAATAGTGTAAAGATTGTTGTAAAAAAAAAAGACAAATTACTTTTGTGTAGCAAATTTTAAACTCTATTTACTTCAATGTTTATTTCATGTAAATTTCAATTATTCTATGATTGATGTCTATCAACAGAAAAATTTAAGCTTTAAAATTGAATATCTGTCTATATTTCTGAGATGAGGTATTATGTACATTGTTCGAACTATCATCCTCATCTTT